CCTTCTGAAGCTGCTGCCCCCGCGACCCGACCCCGGATAGGCGGAAGAAAATGGATGGATGGATGGATGGATGAAATTGGCCGATAGTTTGAAACTTCTGTTGGATCACCAGATTTAAAAATGTGAGTAATCTGAGCAAACTTCCAGGCATCAGGGAAAATAGACTGCACAATACGTAAATTAAGCAAATGATGAAACAATGGTAAAAAAGTGTTGGCATGCATTTTCAAGAAATCCATATTTATCTTATATTTGTCAAATGCATGTGWGHCWTTTAGAGATTGGAGTGTATTCAAAACATCACTCTGTGAAATTTCAGAAAATGAAAATTGCTTTGAAGTGCCAGGATATTTAAATAACTTAAACTATTAGCTTGTCCCAGTAATGATGTCCTTACTGAAGAAATAAAATATTCATTAAATAAGTTAGCAATTTTTTCATGATCAGAAACAAGAAGTCCATTAACTGAGATTTGTGAATTGTTATTAAATGTTTTATTGTTACTTTCACCTGTCACTGACTTAATCGTTTCCCATAATATTTTTGGRTTCTTACTGGCTGAAATAATTTGATTATTAAAATATTGTTGTTTGGCTTTGCGTAATTCAGCAACACRTTTATTTCGGTAACTGTTTAAACGAGACCGATTTTCAGACGTTTTTGATATCCTATAAGTTTTCATTGAAGAAGATTTCAACTTTAGGAGATGTATTATAGAGGCATTTAACCATGGAATTTTATTTTTCCGGACTGGAACTTTACAAGTTAAAATATATATATTTTTCCTGTATTGTCTCCAACTTATCATAAAAATTTGACAAAATGCGATTTGGATTTGACAGAGAAATACCCTCATTCCAGTCAGTATTCTCAATCTCAGCATGAAACATGGGTAACTTTGATTTTGGAATCCTTTTAATGAAATTATGCACATGACCTGCAGGTTTCTTAAGGTTTTTTTCTAATGACATAAATAAGTGAATGATCCRAGATTGAAGTATTTATAACTCCAGATATGCCATATATGGAGGATCGATTTGCGAAAATAAGATCCAAAATGGAATTGCATGTCTTGCCAAATCTTGTTGGTACTTTAATTTACTGTTGAAGCCCTAAGTTTATAGACATTGCTTTCAGGCCTTTGGAAGTTTTATCAGCCCAATTCATATTGATATCACCAAGAATCACAAACTCTTTTGATTTTATGCCGTTTATAGTTTTCAGTTGTAAATAAAACTGTACATAATAATGGATCTGCAGTCCATTGTGTTACATGAAAAGAAGAGGAGCTCAGTTGCTGATGGTGCTAAAAGTGAGGCTGCTTTATCAATTTTAAGCTTGTGCCCGCCAAACGTCCTCTCTGTCTGTCTCAGGACTGAGTATTCCAACTCACCAGGCTGAAAGATGCAAACTCAGTAAACTTACTGATTGGTTATTGTGCAAGCTCAGCAACAGTTTGTGTCTTTTGAAGTGTGAGTTTTATTCAAATGAAAGAAATTGTATTTCCTTCTAAAATGCAGAGTAAACTGCTGAAACTGAGTTATTTTAACCAAAAGTAGCAAAAAGCTAACTAAGGCTAAATGTATCAAAATGTTATCCAAGAGCTATAAGTAGCAAAATATGAGCTAGAAGCTGAAAGTAGTAAAATGTTAGCTAAAAGAAATGAGTTAGCAGAAAGCTAAAGGAGCATATGAATAGCCAGAAGCATCAAAAAAGCTAAAGTAGCAAATAGCTAAAAGTATCAAAAGTTAGTTAAAAGCTAAAGTCGCAAATGGCTAACTAAAAGTAAAAGTAACAAAAAGGTAACTAAAAAGCTAAAATAATCAATAAAGGTAGCTTTTACTCATTATTTGACTCAAAATCAAACAGTAAAATCAGTGTTATGACTACTGATGATTTTATGTTTCAGATCATAATTTAACCAATCATTAAACATATTATTTTTATAGCTACATGCCATCTATAAGCTATATGCAACAAAATGCTAGCTAGAAGAAATTGGAGGTTGGCAAAAGATTAAAAGTAGCAAGTCTTGCTAAACCTAAAGTAGCAAAATAGTATCTGGAACAGGTAAGATATTTACTGTTTATCACCTTTCTTTGGAATCCCACTTCAAGAGAGCTTAACATTATCAAAGAAATAGTAAAGGATTTCTCCAGTTAGAACAACATTGCACACTATTTTAAAGAACAAAGATTAAAGACGTGGAAAACATAGGTTTAATATTAACTCATATAAACTTTTTCCCATTTTCTTTGCACCATTCTGATGGAGAAGAGTAACATGGCTGGATCATAATGTGAAAGAGGGACCAGAGAGGGCTTTGCCTTCCTATCCCTGCTTTAGATGCCTGTTGACAGTAATGCCAATGGACACTGTGAGCAATTTAAACATTTATGCGTTGTCTAGCTGGGGCGCTGTTGATCTGGCTGTAGTAAAAGCAAAGTGACAGCACGAGGCAGGAGGTACCAGAGTTTGTCACTGTCTCTCAACAAGTTTTCAGGGCTCTCAGATGATATTTCGGTGAGGAAAAGGGGCAGTGAGGCGTGGATTCTTTGAAATGTATGTCCTTTAATCAAGGTACGCCACCTATTTGTGCGTGTGCGCCTAGTGATGAATCAAGCAAGTGCATGAGTGTGTGTGAGTGAGTGAGAGAGAGAGAGCTTAGAAAGTCCTTTCAAAGTTGACCTTCACAATCTCTGAGGACCCTCTCATGCTCCCTCCTCCTGAGAGGCCAACGGCCAGTGTTAATTACCTTCACTCAGTACCTCCAGCTGCCTGCTCATCAGGTCAGTGCTCCCATATGTTCCTGCAGGAGGCAGCAGGCAGGCTGGCAGGCAAAGGGCGGGGAAAGTGTTGGATACCTGTGGGACACTGATTACATAAGCTGCTGCTAATGAGAGAGTCTCTCTCTCTCTCTCTCTCTCTCTCTCTCTCTCTCTCTCTCTGAAAGGGCTGCGAGTTCAAACGATCACAACGGTGGCAGCGGCTGACAGATGCAACCCCAGAGCTAGGGGGACTTGACTAAACACACACACACACACCTATGCACATGCAGGCACACGTACACACCTGTAGCCATCATCACTTTAACACACACACAGAAGCACAGGAGGAGACGGGCTCTTTGATGAGCCAAGGCTAGAGGTTGGTGAGAAGGGCCACTGCAGCCTGATTCAGCTAGCTTCAGGTCAGTACCGAGTGTTTATATGTGTGTGTTTGTGTTTATTAGTCACATTGTCTCATATCGTTATACAAATGAATCATTTATCAGACACCTCGACTCAAAACTAGGATGCAAATCAAATTTGGCTCATTTTTGCTTAAAAAAAGGTTGGTTTTTTCTGTTCTTTTTTACCATCAGAATACATTTRTATGATCAGATCTAATTCATCTTAAAGCTTGATAATGAAATCTTTGCAGCAAGAAAGATGAAAACAAAGATTAATGGTGCTGCCGGGTTTTTCTAGCCCTGCTGTCATGTCATCTGTTATTCTCAGACAAGAGCTTCGTGGTAACAAAGTTAGACCTCACAACAATGCTTAATCACAACAAACCACATTAGTCCAAAAGGTAATTGTGTTTGCTTGGTATATGCGTGGGCCAATCTGTTTTGCTGCTGCCAAAGAGCAGAAGGATGGACTAGGTGGAAGGGGGTTTACAACCTAAATAGCCTTGTTTACCTCCAATGTCTGGCTCCATGTTATCGAGTTACAAAGCTGCTGCCGCAACTCGGCTTGGCCTCTGATCGATCGGGGCGCTGATGGCAGAAGGCAGCATGACTGACAGTCTGACAAGGATCTCAGACGGCAGCTGGGTAATGCTTGTCATGTCTTTTTTTTTTCCTAGACGCCCGAGCTTCAGTTTCTCGCTCAGAGGAGCCGACTTCCAGCGCAGATTTTTATCGCACCTGCATTGTGACGAACYAGACATTTTTCCACATCGGCGAGGACGTTCAAAGGGCAGAAAATGTCACATTTGAATTTTGAAAGGGTCGGCAATTCAAACAAAATGACAAAGTGTCTCGGTGTTTAGAAAAAAAAAGTTATTTTTATTATTTGGCTTGCAAGCAAGCAACTTAAAAAGTGACAGGAATGTATGTGCATGTATAAGATTTAACAACTAACATGGGATTATAGAAATTCATCCTCTGAYGCTTCAGATCTATGAAATACAACAGTTTCAACATATTTATCCGTGATGACCCAAGTCCTTTAAAATAGCATAGATTTACTGTACAAAGTATTTTACTGAAAGTGCTGAAAGTTCAAATGAATCCCACAGCATCAGTTTGTGCTGGAGACCCCACAGGGTCCAGTCAAGGCAGGTGCATGAAGGGACCACAGAGGAGGTCACATGGGGTAAAACTGAGAGGCAGCCTCTGACGACTGGATCTCCACCTGAGCCATCTTGAACTGGGTGCACTGGAGCCATTTGCGCAGGGCAAAGGGCGGAGCCCCGGCGGTCTGGCCCTGCAGACACTGGTGGTTCACTCTGTTCTGGATGGCCTGAAGGCGCAGCTGAAGTCCCGCGGACAGATGCTACCGGAGGAWAGGAAGACTGTGTTAAGGTTTGAAATCCGGCGGCAGCTGACTGATAATTACAGGAAGACTTACCTTGAGGTTCGACTGAATCATGGGGAGCCACATTGGAATTAGCTAAAAGAAAGAACGAGGATGAATAACGATTGCACTGAATGTTAGGTTACAAACAGTTCATGAAAACAAACAATAAGGTACCTTGACAAAGATGGTTGAGTTGCATTCTTGCAGGGCTTCCATCAAACTGATGACATGAAGACACACCATCTCTACCATCTAGGAAACAAATATAATTTAGACTAGGGGTGTCCCAATACCAGTTTTTCTCAAAACCAGTACGAATACTTCAGTTTGAGTACTCGCCCATACCAAGTACTGATACCTAGTACTTACTGAGTTAGACCATAAACATTATACTAATTTATTTTACTTAGAAGAAAGTGGCTCTCCTTCTTCTGACTGGATCAAATCAAACACACAGCATGATATAAATTGTTGAAGCATTTTAAAATAAATAAAAATAGCAAATACATTTTTATTTAAATTGTATACATTTTGGGCAGCACCGTGGCTCAGTTGKTAGAGTTGCTTCTCAACAATAAGGTTGCTGGATCAAATCCCAGCCAGGGATCGTTCTGGGTAGAGTTTGCATGATCCCTTCGTGCATGTGTGGGTTTTCTTCAGGTACTCCGGCTTCCTCCCACAGACCAAAAACATGACCGTTAGGTTGATTGGTAACTCTAAATCAGGGGTGTCAAACTCATTTTCACCGAGGGCCACATGAGCGTAACGGTGGCCCTCGAAGGGCCAGTTGTRATCAACTTTGACGTTTCATGTTTAACTTTGACTAAACTGTGTTGTAACACATCCTCTTTTAAACACTGATAAGAACTAAGTGTATGACTGACTAAATCTGAAATAAATAAAGAAATATTAATAAAAGTAAAACTAACAAATAAACAAATAAACGAATAAAGTTTTACTCACTGATGAGTTTCTAGTGAGTAGTATGCATTTTAGCAAATTTAGTTTATGGTCAATGGTAACTTTAAGGCAGCTTATTTTCAGACATTAATGCTGAGCTATCCAACTAAATTGCTCAGTTCCTTAAAGCCAACAGCTCAGAGGCAGGACAATTATTTTCTTTAACCTTTTAAATTTATGTTGTTGCATTTAATCATAAATTTAAAGTTTACCATTGATATAAG